ATGGATAACTTTAGAAAAAGAATTATCGCAGAAGGATATTTACAATCATCACTACAGCGTGCATCATACAAACCTAGGAAGGAGTCGGGTAAAGAGTGTGGAGAGGCCTGAGGGAGTTGGGCATAAGTAGAGGGATGTTAAATTGAAAGGAGAGGAGCTGAATTTGAAAGGCAAGGGGTTGATTATGATCAAAGGGATGACAGATTTGAAAGGAGGGAGATGAATATGATCGACGGGGTACTGAAATTGAAAGGAGAATATGGGCTTGTAATGACAGGTTTGGATACGAGTGGAGAATGGATGATTGGCACAATTAGGAGGAACCACCCTTGGAGATGGAAAACTTTTGATGAAGTAGGGGTGACAAAGGAGATCTGATGGTGAGGTAGCTAAAGATGTCTATTTTTAAGGGAGATGATCCTTATGGGTGGATCTACAAGGTGGAAAGGTACTTTACCGTCAATAGAATGACGGAGGAAGAAAGACTGACATTAGTCAGGATATGCTTGGAGGGAAAAGCTCTAGCATGATACTAGCGGAAGGATACGAGGAGACCCATATGAACCGGAAGGGAGTTTAAGGACTAGTTGTTGGAATTCAAACCAGCAAAGAGGGAACTTCTATGAGCAGTTCTTCGCCCTGACACAAGATAGGATAGTTGTGGAGTATTGTGAGCAATTTGAGCACTTGGACAACAGACTTGACCAGATTTTCGAGATTATACTGGATGGAAACATTATGAAAGGGCTCAAATTAGAGATTTGGGCAGTAGTTAGAGTGATAAACCTCTTTATTTAGGAGAGGCTACGAAGCTAGCCCAGCTAGTGGAGGATCAAAGGGACCTGGAGAGAGGGGCTAGAGGCAACAACTCAAGAGTTCTATACAAGATGACCACAACCTTTTTAACATCCAAGGAGCCGACATCAGGTACACTTAAGGAGACCCTAAAAGAGAAAACTGTAGGAGAAAGATCAGGGGAAAACTTCAAAAATTTCACAGAGACAAAGCTACATGAAAAGAGGTTGAAGGGGTTAAGTTTCATATGTTAAGAGAGGTATACACCGGGTCACAAGTGTAATGACCGAACTCTTCAGGTTTTCATTTTTTTTTATGACGAGAAAGTTAAGGAAGGAGCCGTCTTTTCGCCTTGCAGACAAGGTGGTCTTGGGAGGGGGTATTGTTAGACGTCAAACACGCGCCTATTTGACGGAATAGCATTCCGCATGTTTAGGCGAAGCATGCATCTATTTAATTAAGGAGGGGCTCAGGAGTCTAGCAGTAATTAAGCCTCGTAATTAAGAGGAACTTAAAAAGGGGATTAGGAGAGAAATTCAAATTATGAGTGTTATTTTGGCATTAACTATATTTTGTATGTTTTAAATACATTGTTTAACCTAGAATTAAGTTTTATCTTGTGTTTGCTAAAATTTAGAGTGTTCTTAGGGAGTTTTGGGCTCTAGCCACCGGCTAGAGATTTGGGGAGTCAGATCCTCTCCAATTGAGAGTCCATTGTATCTTGTTCGTTTTCTTCCCTATTTCATCAATTGAAGAGTGTTTTCTTCCATTATCTTTCTACAAATAGCCTTCGAGATTGTATTTGGATTGTTGAAATTCAATTTCATCCAAGGGGAATTGTATTTCTACAACCATTTCCTATCATAAACTACATGGAATAATTTATTCTAGCCAAAAAAAAAGCTTCAACTAATTAGGTAAGAGAAATTCTTAGCATTTTAAGAACTTAAAGTTTGTCTCAACTGAAAGGAAAAGATGTCATGAATTTGCCATGCTATTCAGATTTTTGTTAGACCAGTCCATTGGACTGGTCTAGCCGGTCCACATGGGACCGGCATAGGCGCGAACGAGGCGGAACGCCTCTGCCTCCTACTTTAGCCGCATACAATGCATGATCAAACGGAGCAATTTAGGAAGGATTTTTAAGGGATTTTGGAGGGAAATTTGAATGTAGAGACTGTTTAGGGATTTCCTTTTGATTTGTATGCATAAAAAATTTGTTTACCCAGGGTTATGGCTTCTTGAATTTGGCTGAAATTTTAGATCTCCCAGATTTAGGTTTTCTTTGGGCTCTAGCGGCGACTAGAGATTTGGGAGAGATCAATCCTCCTCTCGAATAGAGGAAAAATTATATCTTGATATTTTCATTTCTATTTCATCAAATAATACAAATTATCCACTATTTTTTTGTGATTTTGTGAGGATTTGTTTGGAGAATTCTCCTTGTTTTCTGAAGATTGATAGGAAATACTTGAGATCTACAAGTGTTTCCTATCAAATTGGTATCATAACAAGTCTTGGGACCGGTGGTGGGCTATTTTTGACAAATTCCACCAACTGTTTTTGGTCCGGAAAAGGGGGAAGTTGTCATTTTTGGAGTTCCAAATTCAAATTTTGTGAATCTATAAACTCTAGATTGTGATGGCGGCCAAGAAGGTGGATGCTTTGGAAGATAGGCATGAAAGGGAAATGAATCAAATCAAGACTATGGTGGAGGAAAAGATTTCATCCATGGAAGGACAAGTAGCCAATCTCTGGGATGTGATGGAGAAAATGTTGGAAATCCACAACCAAATGGTAGCTTCCGTGGCTACAGATGTCGAAGGAAAAAGCACGAACTCTGAAATCCGTAAGGAGAAAGATGAGGTGGAAATCATGGAAGAAGAAAGAAGAATACCCATCTGGGGAACGCCATGAGGGATACTATGGCCATCGAGGTGCTAATTTTGAAGAAAGAATAGGGGACTTCGAAGGGGGTTTGGGCTATGTCAAGGATAGGAAAGACCAGAAGACATGGAGAGGGCAGAGCACTTGGGAGAGAGGAAGCTATGGAATAATAAGGGGGAATGGTGGTGATCAGAATGTGATGAAGCTGAAGATGCCCATATTTAAAGGGGAGGATTTATAAGGTGGAGAGATACTTAGCCGACAATGGGTTGGCAGAGGAGGAGAAGCTAATAGCGGCAGTCTTGTGCTTAAAAGGGAAAGATCTATCATGGTACCAGTGGAGAGACCAGAGGAGGCCTATCAAGAATTGGAGGGAATTTAAGGACTGCATAATAGAACGCTTACAAACCAACCGGAGAAAATATTTCTATGAGCAGTTCTTTTCTCTGACGCAAGAGGGATCAGTAGCATACTACCGGGAGCGATTTGAGCATCTGACAAGTAGGGTGGAGCAATTATCATATAATGTACTTAAGGGGAACTTCATGAAGGGGATAAAGGAAGATTGTCTGGATGCCGCGGGACTTGGGGGAGGCCATGAAGTTCGCACAGCTGGTTGAAAATCAAAAAAAATATAAAGAAGGCAACTAGGTGAAACAACTCAGGAGGCTCATATAGGACAACGAACACTCTTCTAGCACCCAAGCGGCCTACATCAGGCAACATTAGTGAGACCACCATGGAGAAGCTAGTAGGAGGGAGTGGAAAAATTTTCAAGAGGCTGATAGAGAAGGAGATGCATGAGAAGAGGGTAAAGGGGTTATGTTTCCTGTGTGATGAGAAGTATACTCCAGGGCATAGATGTAGAGATCAAACTTTTTAGGTTCTCACCATCTATGATGACAAGAAAATTGAGGAGGGAGGTGAGCGAGAG